CTTTGCCAAAAGGACAAAGCTACTTGAATAGGACTGAGTAGTGGGAAGCACAATAGACCTGATAAGGGCGCAGTGCTATGGGACTTGATTAAAACTAACTACTATCAAAAAGAAGAAATCTATAACCGACAGCGATTCGTTTATTTATCATCAAAAGAAACGGGATTTATTTGTTTGTTATATTTTACAATAAAAAATAAAGAAATTAGTAGAAGTTGAGGTACGATTCCTTACTTAACATAGATACAATAATCTTCTAATACACTGTTTCGTCAATTCTCTGAAATCTGATACGTCAAGTGCCACTTAATTTTTCAGTAATATCAGTTGAGTAGATAATAATTTAATACGTCACTGATTATCAACTAATGAGCTAAATAGCTCAGTGTTATCTCCTGACGTTTGATATTAAGTCATTGTATAACAAAGATCTGTAACCTTCAGTATAATAATTTTTTTTATGCAACTCATTTTGCGCAAAAATATAAATTTAACTTTTTCAATAACCTTAAGTGGTAGGTGCGAAAGGCAAGACCATGGTATCTATATGTTTTTGGGGCCGCTGAATCCGAATTCGGGTTCCGTTTGATCCGATCAGGTCTGCTAAATACTTTCAAGTTCCAAACTCAAAACACTTAAGTTAAGTACGCACTGGTTTAAAGCTTACTTAATTAGGCTTATTGATACTAGAATTTTGTCATGTCAAAATAATTAACTCGAGAGTCACGGGTTCAGTGTTAAAGCTTTCTTTCTTTAATCTTATTTGTTAGTCAAACTTTATACGCATAAATGCTTAACTTGAGTATTTGAGTTTAGAACTTGGGAGTATTTAGCAGACCTGATCGGGTCAAACGGACTCCGGATTCAAATTCAGTGGCCCCAAAAACGTATAGATATATTGGTTTACTTTATTGACAATTGATTCTCTACATTTGACCTTGAACTGACCTTATCACATTGTAGCGTCTTTCGGACCTCCCACTCTTTTTATTTGGAGCTGTGTAAAATCGACAAAAACGTTTGGACATTGGTATTTCCCATAGTTATTAAAATAATTTTCCAATTCATTTTTATGTTGAATGAATGAATCGGAATTATTTCACATATTTTTTATATACAAAAATAACACCGGTTTGATTTTATAAGATTCAAGGTAGGATGTACAATTTTTGCAAATGAAATAATTAAACAGAGAAAATGATAAGGTGATTTTATTGAATATAGCTATTTCTTCTGTGTGATATGATATGTGGAGTTGAGATTTGTTGTACATTTCGATATTAAATATCTTCTTCAGAGGGTATCCAAACAATATCATCTAGTTTTAACAAATTCTATCCCCATACTCATCCTATCAGCTTCTTCTCAGAAAAGAGGTAGATAGACAAATAATCGTGCTGGTAGACAACAGTCCCTGAAGGACTATATTCTACAAAGTAATTTTGTTATCGCTGAAATATTTTGAAAAAAAGATTTATTGATATTTTACTTGAATTTAAAGGTATTAAGTTACATCTCTTAATTCTCATCAAAGAGTAGTGTGTATATGATTCTTTAGATCAAAGGTATAATAAGGGAATAGCTCCATACAAAAGCTTGTCTTTGGTAATTATCTAACATATTGAAATTATTGAATAATGCTGCAAATCTTCAAAGAAGTTACATATCTTATATTCTTGTTTCTAGTAGCAATAGTATCATTTTGAAGAACATGAAATTTAGCCACCATAAAGTATTACAATATTTCTGGGTTTTAAGGATCGTTCTCTCACGTCGTCTACTTTTAAAAATGGAATAGGCCCGCTTTTTAAAGGATTCAATTTGTGACGTAACAACTACTAATTTGAGAAACGGTACACGTCTAAAACACTTGCGAATTTATTTTATTTTTTTTGGAATGAATGAAAATTAAAATTATTGTTAATCTACAATACTGTTCCTTTACTTACTTGACAAATTAAAGTATTAACGTAAAATCAATAGCTAATAACATTTATTTCAACAAATTACATTAAAAAAGGTAAACAAAGAGAATTGGAACCCAATACGTTTTTCATACCGCTTCAAAAATACTTTTGTACTTTCCTAAGTTGTCCCGGCTGATTGCTCAAGGGATTGTTGCGCTCTATCCATAGATTTTGAAAATGGATATTTAACCATTCCCTTACAGGTACAGAATTACCGTCTAATTGGAAATGACGATTTATACGATTCTCTACAAAATTTAAAATTCATCCAGCATGCACTTCCAATGCCTTTTTCTTTAACAGAAACACAAACTCAATAAACAAAACTTATCTGACGGTATAATTAAAGCAAGATCTATTGAAAATTTAAAATGTATAGTTTCCTGTCAGGATTGAATCTAGAAAAATAATAGATGGCGCTAAATATACAATATTGTGCGATACCTAAAAAGTGATCAACTTAGTAAGATTTAAAGATTTTCGGGCAATGTGATGTAAGAATGCTTTTGTTGACCCTTTAGACTTGAAATGATAAATATCAAATTAGTAGTTCACTTACACTGCTCTATCTATGTAGATTCGTAAGTATTACCATCTTTAATCTGAATAAATGAGAGTTTGAACTTCTAAGTTGGTCATTAATTTTAGATTCTAGAATACCGGCTTTATAAAACAGTTTAGTTTTTTTCTAGGATTGCGATAATATTTTTCAGGTGGTATTTCTTAAACGGTTTTCTCTTTATAAGGTAATTTTAATTAAACTCTTGTGACTGGACGGCAAAGACATGAATTAATCGATATGAGTTAAAAATTTACCTATGAACAAATTGATTAATCAAAGAATAGTACGTAAGACAAGAATCATTTTTAGTGACAAAAGCAAGCAGGTTAATAAAAACATTTGTTATACAGGGTGTTTAAGTACTTGTACAAACTTTAAAGGGCGAATTTTTGACTAATTTTAAGATAAAAAGTTCATATGAACATAGATCCGCAACGGCTTGGTTCTTGATATCCAAAAAAAAAAATTGTTTCAGCGATTATTGTAAATGTTATTAACTTATTTGTAGAAGTAGTTGAGTCTTAGTCTTGAAAATGATCTAAGTTTGTCACATCGCCATACAATCAATAATTCAATAAAAGAAACACATTTTTTCACTTGTTTTTCAAAAACTCTTAATGATTCAACTTACAAAATACCCATGCAGTTTTTTTTTAAACTGTTGCTTTCAGCGACAAATACTAAGAGTATCTACCTTTTGTACATAAAATTGAATTGAGAATAGGTATGTTTAGTCAAAAATGACATGTATGTTACGCGACACAAGAAGCTATTGTTATTTAAATCCAGGTACAACGCTGTATGTGGCGCCCCCTAACATTAAACATAAAACTAAGTAAATATTTGAGTTTCTCATCATCAATACTCCCAGTTTCCCGAATTTCGTCAAATTGCCATGTTATTGAACAAAAATATAATCAAAATACCAAACAGAAAACTTTTTCAGAAGCTCTATATCTCAAGAACCAAGCCGTTGCGGACCAATGTTCATATGAACTTTTTCTCTTAAAATTAGTCAAAGATTCACCCTTTAAAGTTTGTACAAGTATTTAATAAACACCCTGTATAGTGATTCAGAAAAGTGGCTAGTTAGAATCACATCAACTAGATGGCTCTTGCATGATGTTTGCCTATTACTGATCTTTATTATGTACTTATTACTCCCTCACATAAACCTGCATGAAAAATTTACGTCTTTTTAGGTTAAAGTCATGAGAACAAGTTTTCTACATCAGTGGCGTCCCTGCATAATTATATACTATTTCTTTAACTATTTATTAATCCATAAAACTGCATTTAAATGATACTAGTAGAACATGATGACTATATTTAAACAAATTAAAAGTTATGAAATGCGATGATGCCGAAATTAATAGTTCTAAAACTAAAATAATCTAAAACCTTAAATTACTTACTACTTAGTAGGTCAAGTAGTTAACCACATATTCTTTGGACTAAAATAATGGAGGAAAGAGGAGTTATAGTACCCATGGACCCTCAATTCTTTTTAGTACGCCTATGGTTTCAGAATATTTTTTTAGAGACAACGTTTCTTTATTCAATTTTTTTAACTAACAAAATTTTAATTTGGAGCTCTATTTGCTACTTTTTTGATTACGTGACATCAGTTTAGTCGACGTTTTTAAATTTAATTTCGGAGCCCCATTTTCAAAATACAAAATGTCAAAATTAAAATTTAAAAAATGATTTTTATTGATAACTCCAGTGATTGTAGAGGTATTTATTTGAAATTTAACACATATTTTGATCTTAAGTCGGCACACTTTTTATGTAATTTTGGTTTAAAATATCAAAGCTCGAACGGAGGGGAGGGGGGTTGAAGTACCCACAGACAACCAATTTTTTTTTGAGTACGTCTATGCTCCCCGAATATTTTTTTTAGATAAAGCAGCGAAAAGTGGTAAAAGAAAAGTCCCATTATTTTAGTCCAAAGAATATGTGGTTAACTGCTTGACCTACTAATTTGTAACACCCTGTATATAAAATACATCTTTAGAGGAAATACAATTTTGAAACTGTAGTGGCAATAATGTTTTCAATATGCATAAGAATATGAATCTATATTTTTACCTATCCAATTATAAGATATTTACCCTTTCAACATAATGAAATTTTGACTGAATTTTGTGTTGGTCTTTGTCTAAAGTATATGTTTTGTTTGGATTTGCCACATTATTGTTTAATTCAATATATTAAATAATTATTGATGACAATCTGATGAATTGTCTCCTTAGTTATATATTTGGTATTAAGATTACATAACTTCATTTGATAAGTAATTATGAAAAGAATTAGTAAAATTAGTCTAAGAAAATAATTAATGCATATAATTGAAAATATCGTATTTCAAAATGCTGAAAATTATTAAATTGAACTCATTTGACTTTTCCTGCTGATATGTAGATGAAATTGGATAATTGAAATATAATAATACCTTAATAAAGAGGACAAAGTTTTTAATATTTTTATTTGTTCGGTACAACGCATTCAATAAATTAAAATAATATTGTTGTGATACATATAAATAACTGATAATTGTTTGTCATTCATGCGAATGGAGATAAGCAATGTTTTCACATCCATTTTTATCTGTGCGTAATTTATCATTGAGGATTATATCTGCCTTTTGATTGTCATGGACTGTTTTCTTCTGTGTGCCGTACTTCAACATGTCCTGTATCTCACTAAAACTCTTTCCCTTCGTTTCTGGCACGTAGATGAGGCTGAATATGCCGGCGGCAAAACACGCACAGGAGAAGAACCAAAAGGTACCCGCCCGACCCATAAGGTCATTCATGTCGTTAAAAAATTTCGTGACTAGGAAGCTCGTAATCCAACACACACTAGACACTGACGACGCTGCGATGTGCTTTACATTGTTTGGAAAAAGCTCTGAACACAGAGTCCAAGGTATACACCCCAAACCAAGATTGAAGGATACTATAAAGAAAATTAGGCTAAATATAGGCACCCACATAATACTGTCTGTGCTATACTCGGTAGAATCTTGAATGTAGAAAAATACTCCCAACATCAGTAAGGCTATCATCATCCCAATGCAAGAAACCACTGTTAGCAATTTTCTTCCAACTCTGTCGACGACAAACGGTGCAACAAAACTTGATATTAACAGAGCAGCTCCAACAATAAGTGCAGATATGTCGGAAGACAAGGTAGTACCAGCTGCTTCGAAGATGGGTTGCAAGTAAAATGTGATGGCGCACGAGCCGCAAGCTTCTTCCGCTATAATCAAAATTATGCATATGATGAAAGCTTTTCTGAGTTCCTTTCTTTTAATGATATCCGAAAAGTGGCCGTCATCGTCCTGTTTTAAGTGAGCTTTGATGCTGTCGAGCTCTGTTTGAACTCCTTCCTTTCCTGTACATCTGAGTTTCATCAGAGACTTTTCTGCTTTGTCCGCCTTGTTTACCCCTGCATAGTAATAAGGCGTCTCCACACCTACGACTAAGAAAATTATAAAAAATGCCGTTGGTATGCAGGCTAGAATTAAACTGAATAAGGTGATGGATATAAAAGGTCCAATTGCGTACGGTAAGAAGTTGCCGATGGCCCAGAAGATGTTCAGAGTTAACGACATCATCCCTCTGTTGGAGTCCTCAGATATTTCTGCTATATACATTGGCAGCAAGCTGTAGCCTCCACCCATCGCTAGTCCTCCGAGAATTCTAGCAAAGTAAAAGACATAAATGTTCGTTGCGAAGGCGAAGACAACGAATGATACGATGAGAGGTATAGCCAGACTCAGTAGACCCACTTTTCTTCCGAATCTCTTGGCTATAAAGCTGAACGGAAATGGACCGACCATTGCCCCGATGTTGACCAGAGATCCCAGCCACCCATCCTCGCTTTCGGTGATGGGTCTGCCCAATGGGTTGATGGACGAATCATTAGAATAAAGTTTGGGGTAGATCGGTGAAGTCCAGGTCAGCGCCACATCTCCCGCTGTGGCCAATAGGTTGACTGCAAAAAAAGGATAGTTTTAATAAATGTGTCAGTTCAGTTAAAATTATTAAAATAAAAAAATTGAGGACGTGAAACAATATATTAAATTAAATAAAACATAACTACGTTTTCACAATTTCTTGTAGGAAGATCTGTTCAGATATCAATATTGAAGTCATGTTTATGGAGGGTGTAACAAAGACGTTGCAACAATTTCTGAGGCTTATTTCTCTTAAAAAGTTAAATAGAAACAACAATAACATTTCAAAATTAGATTAAGGCTTTTACCAAACTAAGTGCCACTAAAGATAGAGACATCAGAAGTGATGCAGTGCAGTGTATCTATCTAATTTAAACGAAAATTAATCTGGAATTAGGAAGAGTCTGAGTATTTTTAACTGCCAAAACAAAAATTGGATAATACACAAAATGGGTGTTCAAAGACATGTACTAGAGTGGTTTAAATAATATTTATTTAATAAAAAACAACAGGTAAAATATAAAACTATTGTACCTATACGAGGAATTTTAAATAATAACGAAATACCACAGGAGAAGGTGCTTGGACTTCTTTTTATTTAGTATGTAATGATGTTAAAAATTGTTACTTATACGTCTGCAGATGATACAATGTTATATATTGCTGGAAAATATATGACAGACACACTAGATCATTTAAATAAGGATCTTGATAATGTCTACAATTAGTTACGAGATAACGATATGTTGATAAAACTAGGAAAAGTAAATTTATTATCTTTGAATCACGATATAAATTAAGTAGTTGTTAATGGTAGAACAATTTCCGGGCCGGTTGCCACATCGACGTTTCCAGAGATATACCGTTGCTTTAAAAAACTCGAAAACTTTCAGAGTTGCTTCTAAGGAAGAGAGCGAATTATCTCTCGAAGCGTCAAGAAACCTAAACCAACGACGTGGCAACCAACTCGGAAATTGTTCTACCTATTTTTATATTATATTAAATTTAGGATTAAAGTACGTTAAAAATTGCGGCGTCTCTTTATTTGCAAAATGTGATTATTCTTCCTTTCTTGAGTTCACGAACAACTTCATCAAATAATAGTTTTTAATGAAAACAACAATTTAGGCACTTTGCTTAGGAAAAATTTCACATTTTGAAATTGGGCGTCCTGTATGTTTTTTTACATATTTGATTACTGCCCATGGCTTCCCAAGATAAGCAAAACTTTTTAAAAAGAATAACTTTTTCTCGAAAAATCAACAATAAAAAAGTTTACAAGAGTGCGGTGGCAACAAAATATAAAACAATATTTGTACTATCAAAAAGTTGAGTAACATATTACAAAAAGGTTTGTTTCGCTTATATGAAATATTGAAAACACTGGAAAATATGAGAAAATTGAAAGAAACTCGAAATAAAATGCTTATTGCAATAATTTTCGAAATATATTTTGTTGAAATACACCCCAATATGAAAATAACGTATTTTAATTTTTATTAGCATTTATTTAATAACTGGCTATTTTTGTGCGGCTTTGTACAACCACCGTATGTTTTTAGAATGTCTATCCTAAAAGGCTCAATATTATTAATTGTGTCCTTTATGAAGGACTTTCCAAATACTGCTTTGTAAAAATTGTCCTCACTAAAGCAAACATCCTGCATGATTTATAGAAGTGAAATTTGAACGTTATGAAATGGGAGAACTTTTTTTTTTTAGAATATGGGTATATGGAATATATCTCCTAAAATAAAAATAAAATTTTTCCGAAATTACCAGTTTTGTTTTCTAATTATTCTGAGAAAATATTTTTTTTCGGAAATTTTAAACCTCCGGTTGCTACTATTTAAATTGATTTAATTAGAGAAATTATTCGGAATCTGTTAATTCATTTTTATTATTAGATTTTTATCGCCATTTAGATATACTTATAATCTTAAACAGTGCAACTATCAATTGCAGTACTTGTATCGTCGTCGTTTCGAAATAGAAATTTGCGAGTGGTTCAATTAATAGTTAAAAACTGATTTTATATGTATTGTGTCACCAAATTTTATTTTATAATTTTATTAATGTTTGCGTATATGTTGGTATTTATCTAAAGTAGGTTCAAAGAACGTGATTGATTATATTTTTTTTTCTGTAAACAAACGAGTGAATACCAAAGCTCGTTTTAATCATATTCATAAAAACAATGTTCACAATGAAGCAAAATATATTATGAGAAAATAAAAAGGAAATTAACGTTCTCATCTGCATGTATATTCATCCAATTCATATTTGCGTATTTTTAGATACCGAAAACTGAGGATTATGTTCTCTCCATTTCTAGAATTGTGACGTGATTAATTTCGATACTTATCTAGAATTTATTGCAAAACAAGGTTTTAGTAAAGGTATAAAAAATAATTAAAACGTTTTCTATTTATTTGTAAACGTGCAAGATGGAAATAGATCATATGTAATCTGTACAGGGTGATTCAAAAAACCGCTGACAGACTTCTAGGGTAGATAATACATAAAAAATTAAGACGAAAAGTGTTAATAAATGCCTACTTAGCGAGATACTGGGCGTCAAAGTTTCTGTAAAATTAAACATTGTCTGCAATAATTTCAAAATGCCTGAACATTTCTATTTCAAATTTGCTATGCGTAGTTAGAACCTTAAGACCAATGTTTGATGTACTGCTCAAAATTTTATGAGCAGCAGTGTCGTAGAGACGGGGTCAACGTGACCCTTTTTTAAAAATACTTCTACGCCACTGCTAATTTTGTCAAACGGGCACTATTTTCGTGTAAAGTGTTCAATTATCTATCGAATTGGTCTCTTGCAAAATTTTGATTAAAGCTATAGATTTTGAGTAATTTAGGTTTCAACTAATTTTGTCAGAATGAAATAACGTAAACAATAAACAACAAATTTAAGGGTGAAAACGTAATGATAAAATTGTATAACTGGAAATAATGTAAAATATCAGAGTAGTTGCTGGAAGTGACCACCTTGTGATTTGACACACGTTTCTACCCTCCAAGCTAAGGATCTTCTTATTCTTTCAATAATCCCGGGCGTATTACGAATTGTTTGAAAGGCTTGTTGAATTCGTTGCCATAATTCATCAATCAAATTCACTGGAGTTACGTAAATCAGCTCCTTAACATGACCCCAAGTGTGGAAATCCAGAGGATTTAAGTCCGGTGAATGGACGGGCCACTGGATTGGCCCACCACGTCCAATCCACCGTGCTTGGGTATGTCATATTTAAATAATCTCTTATTTGTCGAGCGAAATGTGCCAGAGCGCCGTCATGATTAAACCATAGGCTCCTCCGCACATCCAGTGGTACTCTAACAAGCTGTTCAAATTATTCATTAAAAAATTAAGGTAAACTGGCCATCTCTCTATTTGGTAGCCTAAAAGGACCAATGAGCGTGTCGCCAATAATGCCAGTATGAACGTTAATTGAAAACTCATGTTGAAAATTTGTTATTCGAATGACGTGAGGATTTTCGTTGCTCTATAAATGATTAATGTGGAAGTTAATTATTCCTCGTCTCGTAAACGATGCTTAATCTGTGAATAAGATATTCGCGGAAAAATTGGGATTCTCTGAAAGCCTGACAAGCAGCCATCGTGACCACTCTAGTCTTGGTGGGTAATTTTGAGGTAGTAAATGTTGAACACGTTGATATTAATAAGGGTGCAATTGTTGTTCGTGAAGTGTTCTCCAAACAGATGACTGTGACATGTTTAAATTTCTAGAAATTTGTCGGGTACTTAACATATTGTTATTTTCTATTGCTGTCAGGACCATTTCCTCAGATTCCGGAGTTCTAGCATAACACCGTCGCGTAGTCCAGAATTAATTTTTGTTGCATTTAATTTACCCGTTTCTCTTAATCTTATATCGATATTATCAAACATTTGCTGATTTGGTGTTCTTCGTACAGGAAACATTTCTCTGTACCGCCTAACAGCATCACGCGAAACAAAATTCGCTAGCCCATAACATAGGTGCATATCTGTCATCTCTTCAAATGAATATTCGTAATTCATACTGTTATTGAAAATAGTGAAGTAGCTGAAGTAATTTAAATAACCGTAAAAATGACACAAAAAAACTTATAAGCTAGTTTACTTAACTCACTTGTACACTTACACTTATTGACATTAGTAACAGCAGATGTGTAATTTTGTTTTGAATAGCACAAGCCTACTATGCGAAACTAAATGAATGAAATAAAATTGTATTCACAAATTTTCTATAAACGTGTTTTTCTTAAAAATGGTTGCTTTAATCAAAATTTTGCAAGAGACCAATTCGATAGACAATTGTACACTTTACACGAAAATAATGCCCGTTTGACAAAATTAACAGTGGCGTAGAAAATATTTAAAAAAAACCGTTTCTATGACACTGCTGCTCATAAAATTTTGAGCAGTACATCAAACATTGGTCTTAAGGAGCTAACTACGCATAGCAAATCGTCTTAATTTTTCATGTATTATCTATCCTAGAAGTCTGTCAGCGGTTTTTCTAATCACCCTGCATACGTAACAGCATTCGCATAACTAAATACAGTTCTTTATTTCCTCCAATTCGAAAAGAAATTTGTTCAAATCGAAACATTGATAAAAAGGGCCAGATATAAGGATTCATCCATGCTTTGATTAGAAGAATGCGGTAGAGCCTCCACAGACTTGGCAAAATTATTGTTCTGGGTAAACATCGACGAGCCAGCACGTTGGTTTTCACCCATACAACTCAGTTTTGTAACAATTTTACCTGACGAGTAAAATCCTCGAAAATGAACGAAGTGTAGAGTGTATGGTTTATGCTTTTAAACATTTTTGAGAATCTTTGGAATTGTAATTTTGTTTTACTGTAACTCGACTGTTTGTTATTAATCCAATGTTAGAAATAACTTGTTATTGGGAAATATTCTACAATTAAAAAAAGCTTTATGTAAGGAAAATAATATAAATCCTAAATCATTTTATAATTCTATCTAATGGTTTTATAATGGCAGTAAAACA